GGATATTCCTATTTTATCTGCGCTGATTATGGCCTAAACTCGTTCAATATGTAAGATAGAAGCTTTCTTCAACCTCTTTTTATTTACTGTTGCTATTTTATGTTGTAAAATTTTTTGCTATTTATTTATTCCGACTGCGCGTTGCAGTCGATTGTTTTTTTTTTGTTTGTTCATGAAATGGCTGATCCTGATTCGGTTCTTCAACGAAAATCCGCTTCTAAATTTAGGCAATAAATGTTTCATATTTTGTATCTGATGCATTTTTACTTTACAACGTGCAAAATTCATGTTGTTTCCTCGATTACGGGTGTCTATTTACTTTCGTTGTTGTGGTATTCTTCTCGTCATTCGGTGGTTGCTACACTCATATCAGTTCAAACACTTAGTTCTACGCTATTGCGCAACCTTCGCTGTTCTGCTTTTTCGCGCTAGGCGGCCGGTTTTATTACGTCTCCTTTCTTATTCAACCACGCATCATTTTTCGATGCTTTTGGTTATTCTGAGCAGCTGGTGTGCAGAATAACTGCAAGCAACAGACAAGAATTTTCTAACTCTCACTCGTCAGAATTTGTGTAATACAAAAGCCATACAATTTTAAAGAACTGCGAAAATGGACTATTGTATCGCGGTGCAAAGATTAAGCAACTGCTAATGAACAGAACAAATTGTATGGATTGATTCACACGTTTTTCTACCAGTAGTATAAATGCAAAATCACTACTGTTGCTTTATTTCTAAAGATATTACTGAAAGCTACAAGCAACCATAACCTAGGAGACAGATGAAGCAAACACGGGGTCATTCATTCCGAATGGTCAGACCTTAGGACTGTTAAAGCGGTCTCTCAGCAGAGTCAATCAAATAGTCGGTTTGCTAGCGTTGTAATGGTTAGTTCTCTAAAAAAACACTGGTCATAAAATCAAAACTATGATGTTCCATAATCAGATTCACTTATCTTTCAAGGACAAGCCATAGGGTTTATGAGTGTGTGCAAAGATGTCATTAAACGAATTTATTGCAGTCAGTGCATATGATTAGCTCTGAATCAAATATCAACTGTACAAAAAGTAACATTTAACTTATCCTCTACTGTACATAACCCATTTAACTGCGTATTCTTAAATACCAAAACTTTAACGAACGATTTCATAAATTAATCAGACGGCGACTTTTTTGGTGATCGACTGGAACTGCGGCTGCGACTATCGGCAGAACCACTGCGACTGCTTGACTTGCTTTTCTCTGAATATCGAGATCTGGAGCTTGGTGAACGACGGCTTCTTGAGCCACTTCGTGAGCGACGACGTTGGCGGTGACTATGTTCGCGACTACGCCCTCGATCGCGGTCTCGGCTACGACTTCGACTTCTACCTGAAGATCCACTTCTACCCCTAAAATCAGCAAAAACACTATAATTATGTGGCAAAGAATATGCAAATGTAGGGTAAATGTGGAGGTGAATTAACTGTAACATGTCACTAACCTCGTCTCCATACAAATAACAGAAGAAGCGATAAACCTGCGGACATGTACCAAAATATCAACAGAACATTGAAGCGTATGTCCCCGGTCAAACAGCGAAGAATCCACAGAGGGTATATAACACACTAAGGTCTCCAAATATTGCAGTTCAACGCTGCATGGAGTACCCGGTTTCGGTCAACTAGATCGTCGAGTCGAATACTCCCAGTTTAAGTAGATACATATGATATATATTTATTACAATGCAGCCTTCAATCATAGCGCGTGATACCAGAAAACATGCCACGTATACCTGACGTAAGCAGCGACATTCACTTATCATCGGCATCTGGAGACTGCAAAAGTTGGATGAGCAGCAGCAGCAGCCTGCATCAGCAATCAGGACTGGTACAATCAGGATACTGCATGAAGAAACTACGCACTGGGAAAACAGGTATCATTACAGCCTCCCCGCAAACATTTCAGCCCAGCAACAGGAGGAAAGAGCAGCAAAATTTTCGGCACCAAAATTACCGGATTACTGCTGCATCTTCAACAAGTAGTGGCTATTTAGTGAAAAATTGCAACATGCACTGTCCGCGCTAGACAATCGCTGAGACAGTACACAGATTAAAGCAAAATATTATCAATAGCAAAAAAATGTTGCAAAACACTATTTTGTAATTAAACTGTTCAAAAAATTTATTTCTTGAACAGAACGAAGTTAACTATATTTCTCAGAATCACGTCACTTATTTAAAATGTGAAGGCATGTTTTATTCAACTGCCAAATTTCCAGTCTAAAAAGCAGAATCCGCTTAAACTAAGCTTTCGGTATCAGTTTTTATTTTTCACAAAATATAACGAGCCTCAAAAGAATGCAGAAACAAAAAAAGTTTTCTCAAGCTAAGAAGTGATAAAACTTTAATGATTTTTGAAACTGGAAAAATGGAAAGCATGCAAAGAATGATAAAGAGCTCACTGCTCTGTACTTAGCAATATGACTTGAATAACTGTCGTTAGTTTAAAACAATAAAATTATTTCTTTAAACAATTCACCCCCCCTTAGCGTACGCAGGTATTCATTGCAGCTTTGATATGCAGAAGTATTTTCCAAAAATGATTTGTACTGAAATATTTAAAAACACAAAAAATATACTCAATCCAATAATCAGGATTATCGAGCAAAACAAACAATGAATACTGACTGTCCTCTTAATTTAAAAAGATGTTTCTAGATCTGCGGTGCAGTGATACCAATTAAACCTGGAACAATTATCCCCAAGGTTTCGAAAATCAACCTTTTCACCTTGATAGTAAATAAAGAAAGGAAATGTCTTTATCTTACTGTGTTCTATTTTCAGAAAAATACGAAAAATGGTAGTAACTGGTGCATGTCCCTCCATCTCAACCACAGCGAGCGATTTCATTTAAATCATTCGGTTTTTCGACTGAATTTATGGGACAGCGCTGAGCTATGTTTTGATGCCATCATCCATGTACCTATGTAGCGTGTGTAGTCTTTTTTGCTTTCTTTTAAATGCAGTAGCCCTCTGAACAGAAAATGAACACTCCTGTCAATATACCAAAAGGAAGGTATGTGAATGACACTTCACTGTGATATATGAATAATCATCATCTTCCGTCGCCGCTGCTCCTTTCGAGTCGCGGACATATGAATAATACGACGCTTAAAAGAATTTAATGTTATATAATGCAGAGAAGTGAAAATAGCAAATGCATTGAAAAAAATAATTTCACATAAGATTCTCTATAGCACCTAATTCTACGACGTGAAATTCTTTGAATGAATTTAACATTCTGTAAAAAAATCAGTCTCAAACACCTCCCTTTCATTTTCGTTGCGGAATTTTCGAGGAATTAGTAAAAAGGATATGAATTAACCCCCAATAACCCGGGCAACGACTATTATAGCACGTCAAAACATGAAGATGGACATGAAATATGCCAATAATGGCTGGAGGCAGAAATCAGTTAACCTGATTTAATCGACAACATCTGCACCAATGCGTAACATCTGCCTCCATTAGGATCCTCAGACATTTTAAAAAGTAGGTGGCAGCAAAACTGATCTGTGCATAAGGTTTGATATATGCCGCTGAAAAATCTATTAAATTACACCATG